ATTTGTACTACAGTCAACGATTTGGAGCCTCTGAGTGCAGATCATGATGGTTCGAAGTTGCGTAGAGATGCAAGCCAGGATCCCTCCCGGTCTGTCCCAACTCGAGGTAGGAGCAAAGGCAAGAGGAAGAGGAAAATCACTAAAATAGGTGCAGGTCCGCATATCTCGATCGAACAGACAAACCGACTGGTTCAACAATCGATACAATCCTTCCTTTCTAAGAAGTTGCATCAAATTTCTCAACCTCCTACCGAGGCACCCCCACAACCGCCGTCGCAGAGCAAGTTGTCCTTTAGCAGCCGAATGCAGGCTGCTGGCCAAAGCCTTGCGCCGGTCGATTCTAGGCAGGCAGCAGCGCCTTCATCCAAGTCCCCTGCTATACAGGTTTCTCATTATGCGTTCGATGAGGAACCGACACTACGGTCGAGTCCTGCCCGACCGAACCCTACGCCAATGCGATCCTTCTCTTCCTCTTACACCGAAAGACCTCCAGTACGTAACATATTGCAAGAACGCGGACCAAAAGAGCAGCGTAAATCGCCAGATCAATCTGAGGGTGACCCGAAAAGGATATTCAAGGCTTTGGAAGACTACATCGTAGATTGCTTTGGCTCATTCGAATGTATCAACTCATCATTCCTAACGCATACCCACCGCCAGCCCATTAGATGCAGAAGCGAATCGACTCGTCGCAAGCCTATGCTCCCTAGTGAGCCTCGTGAACAGAGAGGGCATCGTCGCGAGCCTTCGGGGAACCATGCTGCTCGTGAGCTACGGGAGGAGCGGTTCACTCCGCAATTTGAAGATGGATCATGCGACCTCGATCCAAAGTTGCTACTTTTAGGTGACTTTGCTGAGAATGGGACATGGTGGATGGGCAACCAAGAAGACTCTCGGCCTCGACGGCCGTCGACAAACCGTGTGGAACGGAGTTTCTCAAGAGCGCCAGTCAACACGAAGACGCCGCAAATGAGCTGGGGTGATCTCACCAAATGGTACACCACTATTGTGAATCCTGCTGAGGGATGGTTTGCGATTTACAAGGACATGTGTCAAGGAAAAGGCTTCTTAACCCCTTCTCAACGAGAATTGCAATTAATGGAGCGGGAACTACTGCAGGGCCAAGAACATGCTCGGCGAGTTCTTCTTAAAGCAACCGAAATGCTTCTAAAAAGACCTGGAAGGCCATTGAAGGATCCGGCAGACTTGAGGTTTCTCCTAATCATTTTAGAAAACCCATTACTACACGAACATGAAACATTGTTTCGGGGAATTCTACAATTCGACAAAAACTTGCCTTCTGGCCCAAGGCCAATACAGCAGAGAAAAGCCAGCACCCCTGAATCTGGTCCTTTATCAGGGCAACACTCGGGCATCATCAAGCGCATAGTGGGCTTAGTTTCAAACTCGTCGGCTGAATGCCATAACCAGTTAATCACCTGGTTTTCAAGACACCACTCCTCTCGCTTCATTCGTACCAAAGAGTTAGCATCTGGTTTCTTAACATATCGGATGATTCGGCAGAGTGGAAAGAAGCAAGAGGTGAGGGTTGACATCACTGCTGGCCTGATACCGCAAATGCAAGAAGGTCGCTCAGGAGCTTACCTCTACGATGAGATAAACCGCGCCAACTCGTCGAAGAAAGCCAAGGAGCCTGAAAAGAAAATCATGTACGCCGAAGATTGGCAGATTAGAGCTTCTTCGCGAGTCTTGGCGCTCCTCTTCGCTGCCAACAACTTGCCACACAGCCGGAGAAATGAAGAATCCCCTTCGGGCTCGGCCGAGGGTCGTTCTAACGTTCATTCTCACGGCCAAATCCTACCAACGAGCGACTTCTACAATTCAATGATCGATTACACTGACTTAGTTGCGGACTTTGAGAATTGGGAGGCTCGTAGGAGCAAGTTCACGTTCTGCCAGTACCCATTCCTTTTGAGCATATGGGCCAAGAACCATATTCTTGAACACGATGCTCGTCGCCAGATGCAGAGCAAAGCCCGTGACGCCTTTTTTGATAGTATCATGAGTCGCAAGGCTATCAACCAGTTCCTCGAATTAAATGTTCGCCGAGATTGTCTGGTAGATGACAGTCTAAAAGCTGTCAGCGAGGTGATTGGAAGTGGGAGCGAGGATATCAAAAAGGGTCTTCGCATTACCTTTAGTGGTGAGGAGGGAGTAGATGCTGGTGGTCTACGGAAAGAGTGGTTTTTACTTCTGGCCAGAGAAGTTTTCAATCCCGACCACGGTAAGCTGAATTGCCCAACAGAAACACAGGACCCTGCTGACTCTCGACAGGCCTCTTCCTTTATGACGAGGATTCCCAGTTTTGCTATTTCAACCCGAATGCTTTTGAAACTTCCGATCAGTTCTTCTTGGTCGGGGTCGTGATGGGACTTGCTATATACAACTCGACTATTCTGGATGTGGCTCTCCCTCCTTTTGCGTTTCGAAAACTTATTGCATCTGCTCCTACACACGGTACAGGAGCATCAGCTCACCCAAAACCTCCTATGCGTTACACCCTTGAAGACCTGGCAGAATACAGGCCTCGACTAGCTCGAGGATTACGACAGTTGCTAGAATATGAGGGCAATGTGGAAGAAACCTTCTGTCTCGATTTCGTTGTTGATATGGATAAATACGGTACTCAGGTGCAGGTTCCCCTTTGCCCTGGAGGCGAACGCATCCCTGTCACTAACAGTAACCGTCGAGAATACGTGGACCTTTACGTGAGGCACATAATCGATGTGTCTGTAACGAGGCAGTTCGAACCTTTCAAGCGAGGTTTCTACACTGTATGTGGAGGTAATGCTCTGTCTCTGTTCAGGCCGGAAGAGATTGAACTCCTTGTACGAGGCTCTGATGAAGCACTTGACATCAACTCGCTAAGGGGAGTCGCTGAATATGATAACTGGGGAACCAAAAACCCGGATGGTTCCGAACCCGTTATTGACTGGTTCTGGGAGACGTTTCGGGCGGCGTCATCTCAAGATCAACGTAAACTACTCCTGTTCATCACTGGTAGCGATCGAATTCCTGCTATGGGTGCGGCTGTACTGCCGATTAAGATATCCTGCCTCGGTGAGGATGAAGGCAGGTTCCCCATTGCTCGAACGTGCTTCAACATGCTATCACTGTCACGATACAAGTCAAAAGAAAGATTAGAGAAGTTGTTGTGGACTGCTGTTCATGAAAGCGAGGGCTTTGGGATAAAGTAAATGAATGGCACAGTTGATGAACTTACGAATAAGCATTGATTTCATTTACGGAGTTTTGATAGGTAGTTCAAGGGGTTTTGGAAGTGTAGATCTATATACAGGACCTGTCAAGGTGCAATTAGAAATTGAATTTGTTTGTCTATCATAAGGGATCCTGTGAGAGCATCGCAATTCTTCAACATTGAAATGCACGTTGTATGTATGCGGCAGCCCAAGAATCCATTCATCGACCAACGGAGGAGTCCAAGCAGAAGGTAGCGCGACTTTCTAAGTTTCCAACTTGTACACTTGCCAGATATGTGGCGTTCGTTAATACACATTTATTGTACAGCATCGTTATGGGTCTCTTTCATTCCAAGCCTTTTTACGAATCCTCTTCCTCCGAAACGCCGCCAGCAGCCCGGGCTCGCTTCAGCATATCCTCCTCGCGCTTCTTTTCCTCACGTAGGCTCCTCATACGTGCTCGGTCGACCTCGGCTTGTCTGGCCATGGCGTCCAACTCCTGCAATTCACGGATCTCCTCCTTGGTGGGTTTGATGGGGACAGCACGGGTCTCGGCAAGTACGTATTCAAGAATGTGAGAGGAGTGTTTCTCAGTCATATCGACGGTGATAATCTTCTCGTCAGCGTCCGGTGGTGTGGCCTTGGACATGTTATTGCGTGATGAGGAGGGCTGGGAACGGGTAGCGGGTGCGGGAGTTGAAGCGTCGGGTTTGCGGAGATAGATAGAGATTGTAGGCTTCTTGTTATTCCGACTGTGACGATTGACGATCATAGGAACTGAGGGATTATGGTATTTTAGTCGGGGGAGGTTCTCACGCCAGAACTTTCTGTTTTTGGTGTGTTAGTTGATGTGCCAGAGAGACCTTGATATATGGACTTAGACTAACTTGGCGCCCATATGACCGTTCTTGAAGCTTGTTGCAAAGTCCATATGTATTCTGGTCACCTCTGGGGGGAGGATTGCTGCGCCCGGGCCGCATCTTAGGGAAATGATCTGATTGAATCGTGAGCAATGGATCGCGGATCATCGTTTGTGGGAGAGATATCTACCTTCTATATCAACTGTCAGCCATACCCTTAAGATGCGAACCCAGAGAATTGACTTACAGCGCGAAGCTTGTTGAAACGCTCACCGAGAGACCTCATCTTGGACTGCGCAAGCCTTTAATCTATAAAGGTAACGCAAGCGTCTCTTCAGAATCGAACCAGTTCCGTGGTCGCAATGCTTCAAAAAGTCGACGGCTCTAGGCCCAGAAAATCATAGACCCCTGCCCAAAGGGAAACGCTGTGCTCGAGACTGCGGGCCGAGCGTTGACCCGAACTGGCTGGTGGGGTCCATATGCCACTCTGACTTACAGTGGAGGCTAACAAAGCTATGATTTCCTAGGAAATTTTTGGGATAATCTGTGTAAGTCCAACATTTTTAGTTGCGACAACCCGAATTCGTTTCTTCACTATAGAAACAACGCAATGCATCGCGCATTGTCAGCTCGATGGATCAATCGGGCTCTCAGTATCGGTGAAGCATCTGCTTCATCGAGTGTTCCTTTATTTTTATGTCCGGCCGTGGGAGCTTCGAGTCGATTTCATAGAACACCAAAAGCGACGCCTTTTCCAACTCCGATATATACTCGACGACTTAATCACACCGAAGCGACAGTCCAAGATGCACCAATCACAACAAGCGAAAACTCACCTCTGGGCCTTGAGATTCCTAAGAGACGCTTACCGTTAAATTGCACGGGATGCGGTGCATTTACGCAAACGAATGATCCGCAAATGCTGGGCTACTTCGACCCTGAAAGCAAAAGAGTTAAGAAGTGGTTGAACCCAAAGGCTTTTGAGCGACAGCATGCAGCGAGCCAGGAAGATGGAGTTGTCGATGACGTTCTCAAATCCTTAGAACCAGGCCAGCTGGAAGCTCTTGGCCTAGATCCCTCTCTCTTGGTAACGGGAGCTGAGAAGGAGGGAAATATTGCTCCGAGTATGCCTCTAAATCCTTTACTACACACCACACAGAAGCTAACAAGTTAAAAGAATCACTGCCCCAAGATAAACAGCCTGTCTGCGATAGATGCCACAATTTACAACATTATAGCACCTCGAGCGACACAGCAAAGGTTGCTATGTTCCATCCCACCGTTGAGTCCTTGCGCGAAACCATCGAGGAATCGCCGCACAAGTACAATCACATATACCATGTCATCGATGCTGCCGATTTCCCCATGTCTCTCATCCCTCGACTTAATGTTCTCCTTGGCGACATTCCCATCAGGACGCGCAATCGAAGATCACGATCGGGCAAGTACCAAAATGATCGCAAGACAGAACTGAGTTTTATCATCACTCGAGGCGACCTTCTTGGTCCCACGAAAGAGATTGTGGACTCAATGATGCCCTACCTTCGTGAAGTGCTACGAGATGCTCTCGGCCGACTTGGAGGCAGGGTTCGTCTTGGCAATGTCCGGTGCGTTAGCGCAAAGCGTGCTTGGTGGTGCACGGAGGTTAGAGAAGATATCTGGCAGCGCGGCGGCGCGGGGTGGATGGTTGGAAAGGTCAACGTGGGCAAAAGTCAGCTCTTTGAGGCTGTCTATCCCAAAGGCAGAATGGGGCCAAGCAAGGAGGGAGGGAAGGCATCAGTATCAACATACCCTCGGGATAGCGTCAGTGCGGAATCTATATATGCCGAGCAGGTTGGAGAGCAAGATGTGGATGTTGGGGAATTGCTTCCGCCCCCTCAGCCGGCTCAGAACTATCCTGACATGCCTCTGGTATCCTCACTCCCCGGCACTACAGCATCCCCAATTCGAGTACCTTTTGGAAACGGAAAAGGCGAATTAATCGACCTTCCTGGCTTGGCACGAAGCGACCTAGACTTGTTTGTGAAGGAGGAGTGCCGTCAATCGATGATCATGAAGAAGCGCATTGTCCCTGAACAGATTTCAATGACGCCTGGCAAGTCCCTCATTCTAGGAGGAGGTCTCATTCGCATCACACCAAAGAACCCGGGCTTGGTCTTCCTAGCATACAACTTTACACCTCTGGAGGAACATCTCACTCAGACTGAGAAGGCCATTGCGTTCCAGGAGCAGACACGAGAATCCATCGGTGTACCAAGTATCATGCTTCCTGGAATTGGAGGCAAGATGAAGCATGCTGGAACATTTAAGCTGTCTCACGACGTCACTAGACAAAGAGCCGGCCCTCTTACGCGGAAGAATGCAATAGGGTTAAACGTCGACAGGCTTCCTTTCCGAGTGTTATCGACAGACATCCTCATCGAGGGTGTGGGCTATGTTGAGCTTGTTGCTCAAGTCCGCGCACAGGATGTTGCTATGAAAGTCTTTCCAGACCAACAACCCCGATTCGAGGAAAGGGTCAAGCCGAAGCAGATCGATACGTCTGATCCATTTGCAGCCATGAGAGCTCAGCGGATAGATGTAAACACTCCGGTAGTGAAGAGGCGTAAGGAGCCTGAACCCAAGCCTGAGCCCGTGATAGATCCTGGTTGGCCAGCAGTTGATGTCTTCAGTCCTGAGGGACGATTTGTTGGCTCTCGTCAACCTATTCAAGGATGGTTACATAACAAGCCTCGTGTATTGCCAGAGCACAAAAGGAGTCGGCCGCGAAGAAGTATGAAGGGTGCCAAGAAAAAAGACAAAGCCGGGAAGAGAGCTGCGATCAACTGAGCTCTGCCATGGTTGGATTCTGTACGATATAAGGCTGTATGATGAATGAGTAGACGATGATGGTGGCATTACCATGTCAATTGTATATCACCCCAAGTATAGATTGCATCTAAGCGTTGTGTAATATAGAACTATAAGAGAACTATGAGACTCAGCAAAGTACCCAGGTAAGAATTCATTTTGGCTGATGTGCTTGGCCCCTTGCCATGTGTGGAAATCACATTATTGTGTACCTTACCTTAGTTGCAATATCAAAGTTGCACCCTATCATTAAATAATAGCAGAGTTCCTTTCACCAAGTCTGTTCCTTCATAAACCCTCAAAAAGAAGGTTACTTACTTACATTGGTGTGGATAAATTGTTTTCACGTAGTTACAGAAATAGAGGATTGCGAATAGAAGTTCGCATCCAATGATTGATTAATAAACCGGGCAGGAAGGTTCAGTGACGTGAAAAGAGGTACGTATCTTTACAACTCAATGCCGACCTACCTATGCTAAGGCAAATCATTTATTTGCCATACGATTCCATCAACAAGCGCGTGACAAGATTATTAACAAGACAACACCACATCCTTCGGGGAGAGATTACTTCTTTCTCTCTGGCATACCTATCGGAAGAAACAAACAGTCGCTCGTGCTATAGCTACGTCGAACATCACATCGCATCGCATCACATCAACAAGACCATGTCGCAACAGCAACAACAACGAAGCGCACCAGCGCCCTCACAAACACAAACCGAGACCCCGACGCAAACACCAGAAACAAGGGAACAGGCGCCTCAGATCCTGAGACTTCGAGGCGCTCATGCGTCCAATGGGCGATCCGTACAGTGGGCAGAGGACGTAGTAGATAATGAAGGTCTTGGACGTAAAAGCTCAAAAGGTGAGCAACATGATCTTAGACCACTGCACGCCCATATACTGACACATACTTCAATAGTGTGTTGTATCTATCATAAGCCGAAAGCCGTCGACGAATCCAGCGACGAATCTTCCTCCGACTCCGACTCAGATTCAGACTCGGGCTCTGACCGCGACGGGGCCCAGCCAGCGGGCGGGAAGCGCCAAAGCTGTGGGCATGGACACGAACACGGACACAGTCATGGACGAGGGAGGAGAAATGGAAAGGGAAAAGAGAAGAGGGCGCCGAGTCCGAATGCGTACGAGAAGGTGCCCAAGCCAAAGCCCAAGGATGGACCGCGGGAAAACAAGTCATAGAACAAAGAGGACGCCGGACCGTCGAACAAAAAGGGCAATGCGAAATGAGCGTTGATTATGATGATATGAGCATAGAGACTTATGGATTGGGGCCTGTGTATGTAAAGACTACTAGTGGCATCGTGATATCTGGGCAAGGTCCAAGTGAACATGATTGCAGAATCATATGGTTCAGAATCTTCCATTTGAGGATTTAATATACAAAGGGGTATCTCATTGGGAGGCGTATACAAAGTAGCTATCTTGCGAATCGTATATCGCAATCACTCGGCACCCTCCACATTGTTCTTCCCACACTCAACCACGAAATATCTTCCAGCTGTTTTGCCAGCCGTCTTGAGGGCATCCCACTTCTCTGCCTCGGACCCAACCGTCTCTCTAACCCTCCTTGCCCTTTGATAATGCCCTATACGAACCTCCTTATCCAGAGCTTCTTGCAATTCAGCGAGTCCAATTGTCACCTCTTGTCGAGCCTCTGTGGTCTCATCACGGATCGCCCGCAGGGGTTCAACCCCGGTTGTGTCCACACGCTGCACGGCGCGGACGAACTGCAATTGGCTCTGGAGGGTATTGATCATGGCAGCTTCGTCTTCCGGTGTAGTTGGCAACGGTAGGGCTGAGAGGCGGAGGAGGTGGTGTAATTGGGAGGGCGTGATCTTTTCTGCGGGAGCCGAAGATGGCGAGGATGGTAGAAGGCTTCGAACGGACCAAGTGGGTTTTTCGAGGATCGAGGCGGCGGTTGATGAGTTTGTTGTTATGAACCGAGTTGCCGAAGGTCTTGTAGAGTGTGTGATGCTGCGCCGAAGGGCAATACGGCAGGATGCGCAGATAGTCATGGATGCGTTACTGGCGTGATCTGTCGATAAGGGTATAAATTCTGTTGACTCTCGATCAAGGTTTTCTTTCTAGGTAGGTTTGGCGATCAGTCAATACAGTCTTGTGATGGGTATATACCTACCTATCCAAGACAACTTTGATTCGTCTTAAACCTTAGTAGATCTGAGGATTATTAAAGGTAGCGACAGCGTGGGCCCACTAAAAAAGACCCCAGGTGTCTCTCTGTGGCTCAAGCGACCGTCGTCATAGCTCAGCCGCTGTCCGCGCCGCAAGTAGCGAGGTACTCGCCATCTTCACTTACATACAACTTAACGCGAACTCGTGATAACCCAGAACGTGGTATTTTTCTCTCTTTCTGTTTCTCCTCCCAACTCTTCCTTGATACCCCCTTTCACGACTGTCACAATCATGGCTCAAGACCCAAGAGCTCTTCTCCAAAAGGTTTCGTAACCCCTCCCCCGCTTTGCATTGGCTGTTTATAGCTTTGCAGTTCTGCTGACACATTGCAACTTTCAGGCTCAGAAGCAGCTTCAGAGTGCCGGCGGCGGCTTCAGCTTCTTTGGTGGACGAGAGGACAAGTATCAAGAGGCCGCTGATCTCTTCACTCAAGCCGGCAATGCCTTCAAGATGCAGCAACAGAGTACGCCTTTACCGCTTTGTTTCGTTGTGAAACCGAAGCTGACACTTCCGACATCTAGTGCTCGAAGCCGGAAAGGCTTTTGAACAGGCCGCGCAGGTTCAAACCGACAAGTTGAAGGAACCCGACGACGCTGCCAACACCCTCGTGGATGCCTTCAAGGCCTACCGCAAAGACGACCCTAAGGCTGCTGCGCGATGCCTCAACGTTGCTGTCGACCGGTACTGCGCCAAGGGCAATTTTCGCCGCGCAGCTTCTCACAAGGAAAACCTCGGCGAGCTGTACGAGGTGGAACTCGGCGATGCCAAGAGCGCTATCGAGTGCTACGAACTCGCTGCTACCTGGTATGAGGGCGATAATGCGGCAGCGTAAGTTGGATATCACGTTCGCAACGGTATCTTGCATCTAATTATGGATCTTTACAGTCTTGCCAATAAGCTATGGTTGAAGGTGGCTGACGTGGCTGCTATCGAGGGCGACTACTACAAGGCCATCGAGAAATACGAGAGAGTGGCCGAGCAATCAATCAACAACAACCTCATGAAGTACAGCGTCAAGGACTATCTGCTCAAGGCGGGCATCTGCCATCTGGCCAGTGGCGATTTGGTCGCTGCTCAGCGCGCGCTGGAGAAGTACCGCGACATGGATCCGTCATTTGGTGCACAGCGAGAGCATCAGCTTTTGACCGACCTGTGCGAGGCCATCGAGGCCAAGAGCCAGGAGCAGTTCACCGACAGACTGTATCAGTTCGACCAGATCAGCAAGCTGGATAAGTGGAAGACGACGATCTTGGTGCGGGTGAAAAACCAGATTGAGGAGGAAGAGGATGAAGAGTTTGCATAAAGGACCTACAAATGGAATGAGAGAGATTGGCACATGAGTGGCTACAGAAGGTATTGGGATATATCACAATCAGAAGATTCCAGCAAGTGCTTGGGATTTTGCTATTGACATCATGGTCGAAGAGATGGGTAGTGACTTGAGATGCACTCGTGTCCCCTCATGAAGGGGGGTTACAGTTGCTAATGTTAGGCTTAGAGTTAACATGACTGTTGTGAATATCAGAGCAAGCTCGTCATAGTCTGAGTTGGTATCTCAGTGAGTCATGAACGAAATGAGCATTCACAGCATGACACTCCACGGTCGTCTACACAAGTCATGCGCCAATCTTCTTCAGCCAGATATTCGAGGAATCCTTGCTCGAGACCACATGTGCACTTCAACGGTCGATATTCAGCGCGAGGGAAACATAGTAATAGTATATGTGTTATAATTAGACTTGCTATCTCAAAACACGTATCCTTCGTTTTCGTCATCAAACTCATTGGATCTCACCCACAGCCCTGTCAAAGTAACAATCTGAGTCATATTCCAACTCTGCCTATCAATGTATCGAAATAGCCCTCAATGCATATGGAACACAGCATCATATCAAGACTGCCACTTGTCAGACTTGGTAGCCGTTGTGGCACATGTCTTGGGAACAGTGTAGGTACGGTTGGGGTCCTTCTCCCAGGTGAGAGAGCCGTCACTCTTCACGTTGATGTACTTATACTGAATAGACTGCCCTACAGTTAGAGAAATGGTGGCCTTCCACACAGGGTTCGAGGAGGTATAGTCTGAGGCGCTCAGGGCAACAGCCTTTGATGTGTCCCAGTTACCGAGAGCAGCGATGTTACCAACAATCTTGATTGTATCACCAAAGTTGGTGGTGACAACCTCTTGGAAAGTGACAGCCACAGAAGTTGCAGTAGCGCAACTGGTGCTAGTGGACGAGCTTGAAGTGGAAGTGGAAGTCTTGGTGCCAGTTGGAGTGGGAACACCACCCTTGGGTGTTTGCGATGCCGGGAACGAAGTTGCAGTGGCCGACGAGTACGAGCCAGCAACAGTATTGGTACCGCATTGGTTGGGAACAGCAGCCACGCTGCCAGCCCAAGAAGGAGGAATAACACCAGCTCGACGATCAGCAGCTGAGAGGAAAGCGGCATATGACCAAGTCAAGTCTGTAGCAGAAAGAGGATGGCCGTCGGTCTTGTCAAACTGCTCTGCAAGGTGGCCATCTGTGCCGACATACTTTGCAACGATGGCAACATACCCATCAGCATACTTGGAGACGGCGTCTGTGATGCTCTTGAAGGTGGCAGAGTCGCTGGCGTAGGTTCCGGTAGAGATCGAAGAGACGAGGTCCTTGAAGAACGAAAGAGAGACGTCCGACACAGTGATGGATCCCTGCTGCTTCCAGACGTAAATGGCGTCGTAGAGTTGCTCTGCCGCGGCAAGCGTAGCGAGGTACCAGGGGTTACCATTGTAGTAGACGTCTTCAACGTATCGTCCAACGGCGACAGCTGAGCCTTGAGCGATACCCTTGTTGATGTTCCATGAGCGGAACGAGTCAGTAACTGCCTTGTGGTTGGCGAGGGCCTTGTCACTGCATGGCTGGAAGGTGGCGGGATCACAGTTCAGAGCAGGGTCGAAATTGTGGATGGATGACAAGATACTGTTGGCGTCCTTGCCAGTGCGGCCATCGTTGACATTGACTGGCATGGGTCAGTGGTCATTATCATTGATGGCCGAGACAGAGCGATACTCACTGTTAGAGTCGACGTACTTGCCGGAAGAGATCCAGTAAGTCTGCAAGAAGCAGAGAGCCTGAGGAGCGATGTTGGAGTAGTTGTCTCCTGACTTGCCGAGCTTCTTGGCCAGAGCGGCACCTTCAATGAGAGCTTCAAAATGTGAGCACATTATATCTCTGGTGAATCATCCAGCAAACTAACCTCGATATTGCGAGCCAGTTGTAAAGAACGAACTGCCCTTGACCTCTTCCCACAAGTCAAATCCGGTTTGGTTCCTGTGACGGTCAGAACTAGCTCCCATCAATGCGGCTACATCACTTACCAATATTGAGCCACGTAGTTAAGATCGTTGCGAACAACAGGCCACACAATGTCGTTAGCTGTGGAGGTGTAGCCGTTGGCAATCAGCCAGTTGGCATAGGTGATCATAGCAGTCGCACGCAGAGCTGGACCATCTCGCTGGGGTCGACCTTGACAACCTTTAGTCAACTGTTCTCAAATCAGGGGCGCCAAAACATGAATACTCACCCCAACCGCCAGTGAAGGCACTCATGTCGACGTTGAACTTGGCCTCTCCTAGACCTGAGCCATCCGAAAGCGACCCAGATGGGTTGCTAACACCCTGGAGCTTGGCTTGGGAGGCGATATACTCCTGGATCTTCCTCTGCAAGCCAGCATCATATTGGTTGATGAACCTATCGACAACATACTTGAAGACTAGAGCAGCATCTCGAGTCCAGGTGTAAAAGTCTAGCGTATGTTATGTTAGGAAATGTCCTTAGTTCAGCTTGTCTATGCCATCAACTTACAGTCAGGATCCTGGGTGTCTGGAGAAGCGATGACAATACCAGTGGCTACATTCTTGGAGTTGCAGCCATCAGAGCCGATATTGCAGAGGAGTTGCTCAATAGCAACTGAGCTCTCAGACTTGATGAAGGAGTCGACCGAAGTCTGTCTCTCTTGTACGAGACTCCGCTCATCAAAGGCTGGTCGGCCCAAGACGCTCTGGAGAGCGAATGAACCGAGAAGAAAGGCAGAAGACACAAAGTACATGATAGGCTGTATCAGAGATGTTGTAGAGTTGATCGAGGCTGATGAGACTGGATCACCAACATCTACCAGGTCCATCGTGAAGGTTTTATAGAGAGCCGGCATGCCGACTATTACAGGAATTTCGTAATAGAAGAATTATACCTGTCAAGGATCTAGTTGTTAGATGCCGAATATGGAAGTGCGGAAGCAGGCTGTAGAGTTCGTGAACATCGGACGCAGGCCTTTGGGGGATAGTGCGGTGTGGTTTAAAGGCCCGAATAATTAGAATGAGGCCGAGTTGATTACAATTAGTCTGCTGCAGTTTCCAGGAGGTGGTGTTGTTTTGCGTGTGATATCACCTCGGCTTGTTCTACTTTGCTGAGGTCATACATACTCATGCGAATATGCTCACCAGCTCAGGATGGCTTCAGATGCCTCTTGAGAACAGTAATGATTTGGAGCTTCATTGTCAACTTGACCTCTAATACCTAGCCAGGAGGCACCCGGGTATTCACATGCACCAGCTGACTTGAGCTCCTGTGACTGTTCCCCAAATTAATACCGTAATGTATGATTTCACTGACAAAGTCTCCAATTCATGGTTAGTAGTGTGGGGTAGCTTGGACAAGCTAGCTCCATGGCATGACTGACTGACTACCTCCCAATAGGGAGGAGGACAATCATCCCCCTGTAATAACATAACATCCATGGCCACTCATAGACAGTCTTCACATGCGAGCCGAGCTATGGGCTCTCGCTTCGTTCCGCCCCCTTCCCCAGACTCTCTCGTGATGCTCAAATTCTCAAACCCCAGACTAGACAGGTCTCCCCCGGATGGAGGCGTCGGTAGTGGACGGATGATTAGTGAGGACAGTACCGAGTAGCTTGGAATAAAGCGCCGAGTGTAACGCACCCTTCATGTCTATTCTATGTGTATGTACTATGCATATATGCATGCTGGACATACATACTATCCTCGGTTATCTTACTTGGATTCTACTTCATTTACGGAATCATGCCTACCCTGCGGCTGCGTTATTGGTCAATCAACGCCGTTACAGACCCGACAACAGGACACTCCGCCGTCATTATGCGATCTAGTCAAATCTTGGTACCATACTCCGAAGACGGGCCGTAGATCGTGAAATGATGCTTGTTCCTCTGTCATGAGGTGGACTTGATCCCCAGATTCAGGATCAAAGCCGAAGCTATCAGGAGGAGGCTCTAGCTGTCAACGGCAAGATATTTGGGGGATCAGCAACGACAAAGGCCAAGCCGTTGGATCGCTTTTGTTGCTTGGCCAACGTGACGTTAGTCCAGGGTCCGCCTAAAAAAAAAAAAAAAAAGAAAAAAAAAAGAAAAAAGAAAAGCTTGATGGCCTGTCTCAGGCGCATCGCGCGACATATACATATGGAATTATACGGACATCACGGATTGCATAAAAGATTCTTCTAGTCATAAGATATGTAGGTAGGCCATGGTTTTCCCCAACCTCACCGACCGACGGTCTCGGAAAAGGGGGGTGGAATATAGCGTCTCGTTATGCAACAGCCTCGACACTCAAGCTGTCTTTCGACAGCGAATGAAGCGGCTGAAGCAACAGTTACTCTTGGACCTGTCGATAGGATGATTGACACCATAACAAGTTGATGGCTCCTTATAAGTTATCGAGCTGCAAAGCAATCGACCCTGACTCCGAAGAGCAGGGGATCGCTAGGCACAGATCCGTGTTTGCTTGAAGAAAAGAGAAAAGAATTTTTTTGGTTGCGGCTCGGAGACTTAAATACATAAAATTGCGACTGTCCGCTTACATAATCCGGCCTAACTGCGGAATTACCTTGTACCAACGAGCCGCGTTTCAAAGTGATCCGTGCTCATCAACCTCAGGCCTGTCTTTCTGCCTACCAAGAAGTAGTCGTTTTCATCATCTAACACAGTCGCATCACATATACCGACGTTTCCATCGCGATACGACCGCCAAGATGGACGCAGCAACGATCGAAGAGACGAACAGAATTCGTATCTCCCTGGGAATGAAACCTCTGCCTGTCCCAGGTGCAGATAACACCAGTCAATCTCAGTCAATGTACGCGGATGGCGATGCACCCAGCACATTGGAGAGCCGCCAAGCTCAGGCCTACGACAACTACAACAAGGTCGTCGACGCGGAAAAGGCAAAGAAGAAGCGCGAAGAGAAGGCCGCAGCTGTCCGAAAAGCCCGGGAGCTGGCGCAACGAAACGCAGTTCTGGAAGGTAAAGGCTTTGGAGAAGCCGAAGAAGGTGGGGATCTTAGCGCCAAAGACTGGCTCATTGGACAAAAGAAGCGACAGAAGAAAATCGCCAAGGTCCGGAAATTGGAGGAGGAACTGGCCGCAGCCGAGGCCGAAGCTGCAGCTGCAGTCCAGTATACTTCTAAGGATCTTGCTGGCATCAAAGTTGGACATGACACGGCGGATTTCCTCGATGGCGACGACCAAATCCTTACCCTCAAGGATACAACCATTGATGAGAACGAGGAAGAAGGTGACGAGCTGGAGAACCTGAACATGCGCGAGGCTGAAAAGCTTGCCGAGAGACTTGACAACAAGAAGAAGAAACCAGGTTACAACCCCCTAGATGACGAGGAGGAGGGTGAGCGTGGTATTCTATCACACTATGATGAAGAGATCGAGGGCAAAAAATCCAAGAAGTTCACCCTCGACACAAGTGGCGTCATTGCAGAGCTCTCAGATATTCTTGAGAAACCGGTTGACAAGACAAAGAACGGCCAGAACGTGAGCTTGGACGATGTTATTGGTAAGTTCTGCTTGCGTACCCAAGGAAAGGAACACCATACTGACAAATCATCTTTTATAGGTGATGCCCCTATCTCTTCAGACTATATAGATCCCTCACAGATCAAAGTCAAGAAGCCTAAAAAGAAGAAGGGCAAAAAAGGAACCAGACAAAAGCCCACAGACGACGATGATCTCTTTGCCACTGAAACAACTCCCATAGATGACGCGATGGACATTGACTCAAAAAACACGACGAATAATAAGAGAAAGGCCGTCGATGATCCTTTTGTGGATGATGATGACCTTCAAGCAACTCTCGCGATCCAAAGAAAGAATGCCTTGAAGAAGCGAAAGAAGACCCGCCCTGAAGACATCGCCCGGTTGCTCAGGGAAGACGACGAGCCAGAACCAGCAGAGCAACAAGAGGGTGGTCTTGTTCTCGATGAAGTCTCAGAGTTTGTCGCAGGCCTAACTAAACCAGGTGAAAACGAAGAGCGCAAGCCCAGAAGACCAAAGACTGTATCAAAATCCCCAGAACCCGATGAAGATCACCCCATGGGTGACGATGCAGAAGTGGCCGAAGAGAAGCCCCAATCATCTTCTGTCGAGGAGTTGGATGAGGCGGGCGTCGAAGAAGAGAAGGCCGTTGGTGCAGGTATGGGCGCGGCTCTCGCGCTACTAAGAGAGCGTGGTCTCGTGGAAGATACACGTGGAGATGCGGAATATACCAGCTTGCGAAACCGAGAAGACTTCCTCGCCAAGAAACGTCTGTTGGAAGAAGAACTGGACGAGCAGGCACGCGCCCAGCGAGAGCGTGACCGTACAAGTGGCAAGCTGGACAGAATGTCAGTTCGTGAACGCGAGGAGTGGGCACGTCAGCAAAATACCTGGCGAGATCAGCAGCAGTCTCGACGCATGGCCGAGCTGTTCTCAGCAGGATACAAACCCAACGTCGACATCAAGTACACCGATGACCACGGCCGTTCCCTTGACCACAAGGAAGCGTTCAAGTACATGAGCCACAAGTTCCATGGCAAGGGAAGCGGCAAGGGCAAGACAGAGAAGCGGCTCAAGAAGATTGAGGACGAGAAGCGACGCGAAGCACAGAGCATGTTTGACGCAAGTTCTGCCGGAATGAGTCTGGCAGCTCAACAGCAGCTCAAGAAGCGAAGGGAAGCTGGCGTACGACTTGCATAATTCACTTGACTTTTTTATTCAGCAGAATGGAGTTGGGGGCTACGAATAGTAATACCGGCAATGGACAATTCAGATCAACGAAAAGGTGCATTTACCCTTTGCTCATGTGCTTATTTGAGATTTCATTTCTTGGCTGACACCATGTGAAGATTTAGATCCAAGGTATGTTTTGTGTTCAACTAACTCTGACCTAGGCTCCTGTTCCACCCCTAATTGCTTCCCATGGCAGCCTCTCCTTTTCTTCTTCTTCTTCTTCTTTTTTTTTATGACAGCCCCTTGATTCTTTCAGTCCCCAGAAAAATGCAAGTTCAAAGCATGAGCTTCAAGTGAAAATTATCGCTGCCATCATTTCTTTACGATAGACTGGCCTTTGTTCTCAGCCGCCATCTCGTTCCAGGTCCTCTTCATGTCTCTCATTGCCTCATCCACCTCCCCTTCCATAGCCTGCGCTATCTTCAACGCCAGGGTCGACCCCTGTTCTGGCTTACCAGCCGATGATGAGAACAATGGCAGGGGGGTCGCACTGTTGTGGTGGCTGGAGTTGTTCACCTTGGTAAATGTGAGTCCAGGGGGATATTGGGAAGCCATGATTGTTCGTGAAATCGAGAACCTAGAATGCTTAGTCGGTGAACTGTTTGTGACTTACCTGCAAAGCCTGCCTGCTGGGGAAGATGCAAGGTTGGTTAGTTGAATGTTTCTAGGTGTCTGGGCTGGCACAAATGAGCTTCTTATACGTAAGATGCTCGTTGTCAGTGGTCTGCGGACATGTGAAGGTTCAACGAACATCACCTTTGTTCCAAAAATGGCATTGGTGATTGTCTACCTTGTGTGCTCTGCATATAGGTGGTTATTCATAGAATCAGTAAAGCTGAACGGTTGGAAAAACTTGCTGCTCACTTCAGCTCTTTCAATCAACGCAGTGTAGAAGCTGAACACCAGTATATGTCATAATGTAAATAAATCAATTTCGTGTATCCTAGCTGTCTAAGGGAAAAGAAATAATACGCACCGGTATCGCAAGTGAGTCTTCCCCCCGAAAATAAGAACCACTTACTCCAAACATTCCTGTGCCAAGACCTCACAGGATCGATCGCTCCTATAGGCTGACCTTTGCCCCGATGCCCTTTCCTGTGTAATGGATTTTCTCAGTCCAGCTGCCCAATCTCACAGTCACGTTGGCTATGGCATCAAGCTTGAGCGATCCGCCCAGTGCTTCTTTCAGCTTGCCATAGCCCACGCTGCCGGCAGACCAAATGACTGGCAAGCGTGGGGTCTGGGATCGTCCAGGTGTTGCTGGGAAAGGTTCATCGTGTATAATCTGACCGACTGGCTCAGTGTGGTTGTAAAGAGCAGTTGCGTTTATGTGTTCTATGTATAAAGTGTTGTATAGCAATGGAGAAAGAAGTGTAAACGTGGCTGTCGAGGAAAAGAGATGAAAGGTGGCATCTGCGATAAACTGTGGCTTCTCGCCTTCGTGCTCGTCTTCGCCTGGGACAGTTATTCGCGGCGTAGGCAGAGTGATGTTGATCTTGGACAAAGCCTCGCCGATTATAGGGACATTCGGGACACTTCGTTTGTGGGTACGTGCCGTCAGTGTCGTATTCTTGCCGGACACATAGTCTGATAGTAGCTTGCGGCCAATTACTTGTGCCTTCTCGCCACCAAATCGTAAAGGGTCCCAAGTCGCAAGAACAGGAAGGTTGGTGTTCTTGCCGAGGTCAAACGTGACATTTCTTGATATAGCCTCGCCGAGAAGTTCTCCATCGTGAAGAATGTGTACGCTGAGGTAAGGTACAACAGCGGCATAGGGTGTAGGGTTCGTGAGGTTGACAAGAGCTCTCATCTGAATACCCGTCTCCGTGGTTTCCATTACCTCGATCTCGCCGACCTGAGGCTTGAGTTTACCGAGTGCGTTTCCAGGAAATCCTAATTATAGGTCAGTATTGGCTCTTGCCATGATCGCAAGGCGTGTTAAGAAAATACTTCAGCGTGTAGACAAGGATTATTCATCCTCATGGGGGGTACAAGAGATTACCACAGCGATGACGGACCGTTTACTGGAATCTTGCCCTCTGCGGGAACCTTCTTCACCGTCAGAATGCCGAGGACGGTTTTCAGCTTTACGTCGACTTCGGCCTTGATGTCGAGTGTGATATCGCCACCTCCAAACAGGAGCTTCTGCATGACCTCGCTGAACACGTCACCATCGGTGATTGTCAAGGGGACGTCGACTAGTCGTGACGTAATGTTAAGAAGAGTTTCGCCGTGTTCTTTGTCCTGGACCTTTGTTGAGTTGGCACTCTGCCAGTGGCGCAGGTTCAACTCGCCCATCTTACGCTTCTTGTAAAACAGATCAGCGTTGGAGCGGAGCTTGTCCACCCCCAAATCCACATTCAGTTCAGGTGGAACAGCTGCGAGTACTTGTGCAGTACCAGATACTCGGGGCTCACCCTCGGGGTCATTGACGTCGGCGAATGGGTCGGGTAGTTTAAAGTCGACATCCGTTAGGGAAAAGTTGCGGATCAAACTATCAAATGATCGTCCTGGGAAATCGACCGGCACTGTGATACTCTCCAGGATATCTGAGATCCATTCGGGGGTATCGGTATTGTTTGTCTTCTTTCCTCTCACGAACACCTTGGCATCCTCGCCATGCAGATAACGGTCCATGAAATGGTCGAGAGGGGATGATTCAGAGTGAGGGCACGCTTTCGTCAAAGATTCTGGAATGTCGCGGATGATGCCCTTGGCGTCGGCTTGAACATCTGCCTTGGCTTTGACATCAATTGGCTCCGTGATAGCATCTGCAACGCTGATAGAAGGCAGTGATGAGTCGCAATTGGGCACCAAAACTTCAAACCCAAGAGTCGGGACTCTGAAGGACACTGGGTAGTCATTGTGGACTTTCAAGGATACGTCAGCCTCGATCACTTTTCGTCCGTGGCCATCTACCGGGCGATCGTGAAGATCCATGCGCTCTATGCTGTAGTTGGGCATTGATGGGATCTCATTAGCTGCAAGTTTGTCAGTCCAGCACTACAGAAACAAATTCGCGTTTTCTCATTAAAAGAGTGTCTTCTTTCCTAAGAATAGAGCAGCATAGGAGCGGTAGAGAGATTGACCTTCAAAGACCATGGACTCCGCCACATCGTGAGCACCAAGAGGGATGATTCCCGATTTGAGGTGAACCTTGGTTTTGCCCATTACTTTCAACTGCTTCAGGTTCCCCTCTAGCCAATCATTCGCAATCTTGCGGATATGCTCAGCATCGCCAGGGTTGACGTCTGCCACGAAGTCTAGCTCATTGGTGTGTCCGTTAACTACATCAATGACCAGGGGAGGAATAACAGCAGTGCCGGCAAGGGCATCGGCATAGTCGGGTAGATAGACGTTGACAGTTGTTTCTTTGGTCTCAAGTTTTCGCATAATTCCAGTGACTGCTTTTCCAATACGGCGGGAATTTTTGTTGTCGACCCGCGATCCATCGAGATAGACATTTGCACGAATACGCGCCCGGATGCCATCGCTTGTGATGTTCTCAATGGACAAATTGGTAGGTTCAAGTACAGCAGCTTTTTCGGCGTACTCCTTGACGGCAGGGGGGACGAGGAACCCGAGAATTATGATGAGTATTACAATGATACCGAGGAGCGCCATGGCGATAAGGGAAGGCCATCGCCAAGGTGCCTTGGTACTGGTCTTCTTGTTGCAAATTGACCAGAGACTCCATGCGGCCCGTGACTGAGGCTCATTCGAGACTCGACCATTTTGTTCGCGCTCGCTATCGTCACTGTGATGCCCGTCATCGCTTCTGTTGAGAAGCGGCGATGTCTCGGTAGGCTCCTCTTCCTCGCGCGTTGGCGAGGCAAGAGGCCCGTTCTCCTCGGCTGGCATTGTAGTCGTATCGGATGAAGTGGAAGCCCGTCTAAGAGAGATTCGGGGCGCTCATACGGCGCAAGTGACTTGGGGCAGGCTGCAGTAATGTATTGTCGGATTCAGGGGGGAGGTTGATGATCTGTTGGTTGTTGAAGATGATGTTGATGTCAGAAGCATGAAGTAATCACCAAGTTGAGGCGGGCGATTCGTCATCGAGGTGAAGTCACTTTGGCAGGGTTTATGAGTGATAAGGTTGTGGCGGGCGGCGTTATGATTGGCTTGGTTGTGTCTGATCCAGGAACGGAACATCACCTCAGGCCCCAGCTTTTCGACCCTGAAACTTGGGGGTGGAATTTAGGGCCTCGCACGCGACGTCATTCTTTAATTGAACTGATCTTATTAATAGATCAAGTTTGAGAATCCATTTCCGTTTCCAGGCTAATGGATCTTGAATATCTTGATATATTACCTAATTAGCCCATAAATACCTACCTAAATATTAATGCCACCAGGTGGCATTGCAGCATCGTCTTAGCCAAGTCAGCAAAAGAGCAACATAGTAACATAATACACCAATAAAATTAATACACATACACTATTTACAAAAACACTTTCGTGCATATGTGCACTTCAGACATTTCAACACCGCCTAGGTGTATCTACCTGAAGGAGACTTTGGAAGGAGGATACCTATCTGTCTCAGGGAACAGCTATCTCATCATCATACCGATGGATACTTCCAATAACTACCGGGGATCTGGGCACCTATATCACGCGCCTGAGAGCTCTCATATCATTTCTGCTCAGGGCAGGGCAAAACAGAAAGCAGCTCACGTTTGAAACAGAACAAGGAAGCAAGATATTTCGATTGTGAGCATTAAGATGGCCACTCATGCTCATCACGGCTTCAACAACGTGAAGTTCCAAGCTTAGCTTTATCAGAAGGTTTACAAGGGGACCAGTGATGCAATGAAAATACTCCAATCAAGATTCCCTACGCTCTTATTACCTACTTATTTCCACCTCGAGATCTTGGCATAAATTGACAAGCGCAGTTGTCCAACAGGATCATGGCTATTGAAAATTCAACTGCCGGTAACGGCGTTTGACCTGAGAAACCAAGCTCCAGCGAAGCAAGTGGAGTAAAAACAGCAGCGATACAATAGGTTCCCAACTCCCCAATGAGTATGTATAGACGATTGATATGAACCGCAATCAGATCCAATCATGTGTAATGTTGTGTAAGTTATAGATACCTATCTGAAGACTACCTACCTAAGTACTAAGATATCTCATTAATGAGAGTCAGCGTCCCGAGACCGGCTTGATTTTGCATTAATAAAGTGGAGCATATGCTCTCTGGGCTGGAAACAAGCGGGACATGGCCCTCCTCCAATGGTGACTCTTCCTACCACAGACTCATCATATCTTGACCTGCCTTACCTACTTAAGCCATTGGCTTAAAGAAAAGCTCACTTCCTTCCTTTGATCAGACGTTCAACTCAATTGTAGGCTTCAGAGCTCATTTTCTAATTATACGATTACTCATTGACTCACTCACCTCAATACACGGTTCAAAATGAAGACTTCAGCTTTCCGAATCGCTCGAGGAGCCGCTGCAGGCCTTCAGAAACGAGCGTATTCACAGGCTGCGACACCTAGGCATCTCATGACAATTGCTGATCTTACTCCCAACGAGTTTGCCAACCTTGTTCGTGACGCCAACACTCGAAAAATAGCTGTCAAGGGTGGAGCTCCCGCGAGCTATCTCAATGCCGGTCTTGCTGGTAAGACTGTTGCTATGATGTTCAGCAAGCGCAGCACCCGTACTCGAGTTTCCACTGAAGCTGCTGTGACCATGCTTGGTGGCCATCCCATGTTTCTCGGCAAGGATGATATTCAGCTTGGTGTAAGTATTGCACTTACATGATCAAGACCTACCTACTGATGCTAATGCCTGCCAAGGTTAATGAGTCGCTATACGACACTTCGGTTGTCATTTCTTCCATGACCTCCTGTATGGTAGCTCGAGTTGGGCCTCACTCTGACGTCGCCAATCTCGCAAAGCACTCAAGTGTCCCTGTCATCAACGCTCTGTCCGATGACTTCCACCCTCTACAAACGATTGCTGACTTCCTCACTCTCCATGAAACTTTCCCATCAGCAAGCGCCAAGGGAGCTACACTGGGCCTCAATGGCCTCAAGGTCGCCTGGGTCGGCGATGCTAACAATGTCCTGTTCGATCTCGCCATCGGTTGTGTCAAGATGGGTGTTGACATATCCGTTGCCGCCCCCAAGGGATATGAGATTCCTGACAACATGAGGCAACTCATCAGTTCCGCTGCTGACGGCGTGTCCTCACCCGGCAAGCTTTTTGAGACTAACGTCCCTGAGGAGGCTGTTAAGGATGCCAATGTCCTGGTGACTGATACATGGGTTTCCATGGGCCAGGAAGCTGATACCCAGAAGCGCCTCAAGGACTTTGCTGGTTTCCAGATTACGAACGACCTTGCAAAGCGAGGAGGCGCAAAGTCGGACTGGAAGTTCATGCACTGCCTCCCTCGACACCCTGAGGAGGTCGCCGATGAGGTCTTCTACAGCCCCCGCTCTCTGGTATTTCCTGAGGCCGAGAATCGTCTCTGGGCCGCTCTTTGTAAGTCTTTCTGCCTCTTCATTTCGAAGCATGATTCTAACATCAACAGCTGCATTGGAAGGCTTTGTCGTCAACAAGGGCAAGTTCTAAAGTATGGTGACAAGACGGAATACGGATGGATACTATATCATTTACTAGCCACACTTGGTAGGAAGCGGAACATTGGCGCACGAACAATAAAAATAGTCTTGGGAATTAAATCAATTAAATCAGATCCTTTCCTTGAAAACGCCATTGGGTCGGGTCACTAATTGGAACATCTATTTGATTTTAACCGGGAGGGAGCTGACTGGCATCGACAACCTCGTCTGCCTCCATGACAAGGGACTCCTGGTTACCTTCAGACAGAGGAGATCGGGGTAGAGCCATCAGACCTGTACGGGCAGACTCAAGAATGCCAAAGGGAGCAACAAGCTTGAGGAACGAGTCGATACGGGACTGCTTAGCAGAACTGGAACCACGTGTTAGTATTGCGCACGATTGAGTAGGCAAGAGGGAGAGGATGGGCAACATACACTTCAACAATGCAGCTGTTGGTGCTGATATCCAGGACCTTGCCGCCAAACTGGTGGGCGAAGTAAGTGATCGACTTAAGATGCTCGTGCTTGTGTCGCAGAGCCTGACTGACTGCCAACTTGCTGGGGTGGAAGTCCTTGGCGGTATCGGAAAGGCTACGTTCAATGGCCTCATGCGCATAGTCGACATCAGTCTCTCCAGCTGCAATCTCGCGGTGGTGGTGGAGGAGCTCCTCGAAGTACTCGGGACCGAGGATGTTGATCTTGGCAAGGAGAAGTTCGCGCTGGACAAGAGCTGCGTTGGTATAGTCAAGGACAGCCCAGACAGGGACCAGATCCTCAAGCTGTCGGCGAGCCTGCTCAACAACTCCGTCTTGACCAGTGAGGACAATGGTCATGCGAGAAAGGTCGTCAACCTCAGTGTTACACACGACCAGAGAGTCAATGTTGAAACCGCGAGCTGCCAGAATTCCGGAAACGCGGGACAGAACACCAGGCTCGTTCTGGACCAGACAGTTGAGGATATGGCGCTTGGGGGGAGCGGTTGAAGGGACTGGGGTCTCGTAAAGAATGTTGGAGACGGCGGCCTGGGCGGACCACGCAGGAGGACTGTCGCTCACGGGAAGGGGAGCAGAGCGACGGCGGAGGGCCTTGTAGGCAATGGCGGAGGTCGAGGAGGAGCTATATCGCACGGCGGCGACGCCTCTCGCGGAGGCGACCCAGCGGAGGGACGAAGTCAAGGGCCGTAAAGAAGCCATCTTGCGGAGACAGGAGAACAGGAACAGTTCTCTGGTCAGAACAAGAAGGGTCCCAGCACGGTAGAAATAGCAATTGGTCCGGGCGGAGGATGGGATGAAGGTGACTCAAAGTCAGGAAGAGATAGGTCGAGGGAAATGCCGAAAAAATCAATGGGCCATCGTTAGGCCGGTGACCGGAGGTCACAGAGATACGGGGGCAGATGTTTGCGCGGGGGCACGGATCAGCTCGGGCAAGGGTCCGCTGTACGCTCCGACTCTAAGTCATCAGGAGCTACGGTAATAGGGCTCTTTTCGAGCTTGCATACGACTGGCAATGGCTCATACTATATGATTGAGCCATTGAGTCCGAAGCGACTACAGAGATTAAATTATTTTATAGGCAGGTGTATAATTTCTTCCAACACAGCAATTGGCCCCAGTTCATGCCCATGACACTCCCCAGGTTCCTTGTAAACCATGCAGGGCTCAGCCAAGCCACACTAAAGTACCAAGCTAACCATCCAATGAGGAAGCACTTGATAATCACCTGGAAGGAAATCTATCACAGGAATCGAAATGCCAGAGCTTTACAAAACGAATTGACCTGGACAACTGCGCTCAGCGCTCGCGCTATAATTAAATACTTCTATACCCGTTTGCCTTCCGCACTCTCCTACACTTTTACCCCGTGTTGCCCATTGTTGTATCTATTGCTCCAAGCTCTCCCCACATTCTTAACCGCCGGTGTCGGGTGGCTCACCAGCCACATGTGGCAGAAGGCTGAACGTGGTACGTGCTCCAAGTCCATCAATCAGCCTTTTCAGGTTCCTACTGCTCCGTAAACCATCAACCATCAACTCCACTTCAACACTGGCGCATTTCCGTTGCTATTTTTCACACCGGGTTTGCATTGATACATAGGTGCATATAGACCGTTATCGACAACTCGACATCTTTCTGTACTCCTGCGTGGCGTAGCTCCGACCTATATCCTCCAATTTTAATTTCAATATTCGCAACTCGCCGAGTATGGACGAAACAGAGCGACGAACAGTGAAGCGTTCGCGCTTCGACCAGACAGAGCCGGAACCCAAGAGGACATCGCGATTTGACCGTCGCTCTCGATCTCCCCCGTCGCGTCGCTCTGAGTCCGGAAGAGATCGCAGCCCCATTGCAAAAGATGCAACCCCCGAGGCAAGGAAATCTCCAACTGATGCTGCCGCTGCCGCTGGTTTGTGCCCTTGTCCCATGTCCTTTCCTTCTTCTTTCTTTTAATCCATCGCTACAAAGTTTGTCTGCACACGCCTCTAACATAGTGTATAGCTGCCGCTGCGGCTCGCATCAACGCGCAGCTCCAAGCTCGTAAGGGAATTCAGCACGTCGATGTGCCTCCCATTAGGTCTGCTGATACCGACTCACCACCGCCGCGACCAACTTCGACTCCACAAAGCGCAAACAAGACAGCCCCGGCACTCGATGGCGAGATGTATGTTGCAGATGGCGACTATATTCAGGATATCGAAGTCAATGACCTCAGGAATCGCTACCTCCTCACCAAGGGGTCCACGCAGAAAATGGTAAATACTCCTGATTTCAAGCACACTGATCCTCCCAGAACCGCTCCTTTGGATTTATCTCTGCAATTGGATCGAGAGTATCATGCTTACAGCTTGATAGCTCGCTTCAATACCCCCTTCGTTGCCCCTGCTGACTCCCGCTTGATTAGATTAAAGACGAAACCGGCGCTGGTACGCAATTCCTTCATGTTTTTCGTAGGATATCATATTGACCTAGCAAGATATTACCACCCGGGGCAGCTACTATCCCAACAAGAGTATGGCAACCGCCGCGGTAAGGAAATCTTTCAATCTTGGTTGGGCCTTACTCTAATCCCTTATAGAATCCTCCGCTGTACCTTCACATCACGAGCACGAGCAAGTCTGGCTTGGAGTCCGCTGTCGCCAAGATCAACGAACTTATTCAACAGGAACTCCCCCAGCTTGTCGATGAAAGGCGTTTCCGCCGTCGAGATCAGGAGCAGGTTGAACGTGACGAGTTTGGACGAGTAAGGTTTTCGCGATTTACGTGTGGAACAAGGATGCTGACAATCTTGGTGTAGCGTAAATGGCCTGAAGAGAAGATCCCTATCAGCCTAGAGCCCGTACATGGGTTCAATTTGCGTGCTCAGGTCGTTGGACACGGAGGTGCATACGTCAAGCACATCCAGCAAGAGACAACTTGTCGTGTGCAGATTAAAGGACGAGGTTCCGGATATCTCGAGGCAGCTACTAACCAAGAGAGTGATGAAGACATGTTTCTCCATGTGACGTGAGTTCACGTGTTTTTGCTCTGGGATATCCGTAACTAACATAAACGCAGCGGTCCCGACCCCAATATGGTTGCGAAAGCCAAGGAGCTTTGCGAGGACCTGATCGCCAATGTCAAAGAACAGTACGAAGAGTTCAAGAGCCGTCCACCGCGCTACGGCGGCGACCGCTATGGAGGGGACCGCTATGGGGGTGATCGCTACAACGGTGGCGGTGACCGTAACCACTCCCATGGTGGCTCACATGGAGCTTCTCATGGCTCATATGCCGGCTCTGGCCATGGTGGATACGGGTCTAACCAGGGTGGTGCTTCAAACAGCCCAGCCGCTGCTGGCGTGAACAGTCCGACCAATGCTGCTGACTATGCCGCCCAGTACGCCCAGTACTACGGTGGTGCAGACCCTTACGCAGCCTATGGTGGTTATGCTAAGTAAGTAGAACTGACCGCTTGAGATGCCTGCTTCGTGACGCTGACGATTTACTACAGCTATGTTGCTATGTACCAGCAATACTATGGAGCTCAGGCTCAAGCACAGGCTCCCGGTGCTCCTGGTGCCACTCCTGGGCAGTCAGCTTCACCTCCTCCGCCCCCAAGTGAAGCCGCTCCTCCTCCTCCGCCGCCGCCCAGCTCGGCACCTCCCCCGCCTCCCCCTTCTGGGTCCCCTCCCGGAACAGGTGGGAGCTACGGTTCGGTATGTGGCATAGATGCCGAGATACTCAGCTCGCATTCTACAAGATATCCTCCCCCCGGGGTACATGCTAACATTCGCAGGTTCCCCCTCCACCAGGCCTTTGAGTCTTGGTTGGGTCACCCATCACCAAAAGGGCAGTCACAGAATTACAGATTCTGACAGAAAAGCATGCCGCTGGATATGGAATTCCATGGCTATGTACGTGAACGCTCCAGTTTACATTGCAGAAAGAAAGAGTGTTGATTCAGGTCTCGTATGCGATTACGAGCTATTTGAGTAGGAATCTGCTTCCATCCATCTTTGTATGGATGCGATTAAGAAATAGCAGCATTACTTTCCAGTAGGTCGCAAAGTTGGTTTTTTAGGAATGACATATTGCAGGTCGAAGTACATTACACTCGCAGTGAAGAAGGTGACGTTTCTTACTAAAGTATATTTACTATCTAACAGACCAGGGACATGGCGTTTCTAATGGTTCTAGCTTGTAACAGTTGTAGATACTAATATGCAGCGTAAGAATTAGTCATTAGCTCTTATATTAGCATATTTTTACTCTGAGGCTGATGAATTCTGAGAAACTCGCATGTCTGTCAGTGTCGTTCAGCATGATGCAGGGCGCTAAGGGACCGTGCCCGATGAGGGGCCATTCCCTTATCGATAAGAGAACCAACCCCCATGCTCCCGTGTCGCATTTCATGGAACATTGACATCCAGACATGCCACCTGCATCGACTACTGAAAACACTTGATTATCACGATTGTCTTATAGTGTAATAATTGTCCCGAGAAAAGATGGCAAGATGAGCCATCAGCGATATCCTTCCCACGATCCAGTCAAGGAGCCTCATTCCATCTCGCTCAAAGTGCTTCGGTGAGCTACCTAGCGATATGAGTCCAGGTCTAGATGGCTCCGTGCTTTACCTACCTAGGTAGCTAACGTACAATCAACTTTAAGACTGTCGCGTCCGTCGCTCGTTACTCAATACCCGATCGATCCTCCCTCCTCAGTAGGCGCATCGATCAAGTCACCTCCGATCCCTGCTTCGCTCGCGTACCATTCCGAAGCTGCCTCGAACCCATCTCCTTTCCTTCTCAGTCCCGCCGTCAACCTTCCAGCATCGTTTGGTTCAGCATATGTTGGCGAGACTTTTAGTTGCACTCTTTGCGCGAACAATGAACTACCCATAGATGCTGCCAAAAACATTCGTGATGTGCGCATCGAGGCAGAGATGAAGACGCCCGGAATGGGTGCTGTTCAGCGCCTTGAGCTTGGCCCCTCAGATGGCCAACCTGAAGTTGATCTTGAGTCTGGAGGGACCCTGCAGAAAGTGGTCTCGTTCGATCTTAAGGAGGAGGGCAACCACGTGCTTGCGGTAACAGTGAGCTACTACGAGGCGACAGAGACAAGTGGACGAACAAGAACTTTCCGAAAGTTGTACCAATTTATCTGCAAAGCTTCGCTCATCGTACGCACCAAGGTGGGTCCCCTGAACTCCAACAACACTCTTGAGCACGGGCGATGGGTGCTCGAGGCGCAACTGGAGAACTGTAGCGAAGACGTGGTGCAGCTGGAGAAGGTGGTACTAGATACGGAGCCTGGGCTGCGGTATCGAGACTGCAACTGGGAGGCGAGCGGGAGCGAGAAGCCGGTGCTGCATCCGGGTGAAGTGGAGCAGGTTTGCTTCGTGGTCGCGGAGGACGGCATCGAGTCGGGTCTGGAGGTGACACCCGACGGGAGGATTATCTTTGGATCATTGGGGATTGGATGGAGAGGTGAGATGGGAAACAGAGGATATCTGGCTACCGGGAAATTGGGCACAAGACGAACCGCAGCACGATGAAGAGAACCCCTCAAAGCGACGAATGAATGATACCCGTAGCATTCAGTTGCTCAAGGCAAGGACGCTATGACGCCTTAACACGGCATTTTGTGATCGTAATCTTCCTTGTCTATTCCACAGTCCGCAAAGTTCGATAGTCTATGGATATCAGGGCCCGGGGCTGATCAGAGTTCTCTCGAGCCGATCCCGCTTGTGAGCCGTGTCTTAAACCTTATTTAAAGGCTTTGACACACTACCAGATGGCAGATGCCACACAAGCATTTGTCTAAGACTCGGGAGTCAATGCTAAAGGCCACTGTTAATCACCGAGACATTCTGCTTCTTGTTCTCACCAGTGTCTCTGATTTGAGTGATTGACGGCAGGGGGGTTCATCACGTCCAATCGCCGATTACGTCTTGCTAGGTATCACAGGAGCACGAAAAGGAGTCGCTGACAGGCCAGGATGTCGACACTATGTGACTAATTCAAGCTTGAACCGTCATCGACTTCGCAGGAAGACCCATCCTTGCCGGACAACTCAATACTCCATATGAGCTGCATGATTCCATTAGACAAAAGCTGTGACACCCTTTGTGTCCGTAAGAATTTGTGTATTGCGATTCGGTACAGGGGCTGAAAAGTATGTCACTCCAAAAGTAATTAGGGTTAGTAATGGCACCGACTGCTTGTTGGAAGAGTTACCCCCCATACTCGAAATACTATAACGTAAGTGTTCCATGAGGGGATTGACGAATGGTGTGTAGTATCCGGAATTGAGCAGTAGAGCTGATATCATACACAGTATTGCATCGTTGTAATGTGGGAAATCGAACTTAAGAGACTAGATCGAATGTGCGAATGGCGATGACCGTATTCCGAGCGATACCTAAATTGTTCATTCTGTTTTAGAGAGTATATGTATACGCGAATCCTGAGTAGTTGACTCACGAGTAAAGTCTGTGTTTCCAGACTTTTAGAGATGTACGCGGTTCCTCCCTCGAACCACTTTGTTTCAAGCTCGAAAAGTTCTCTTCAGACGCAAAGAACCCCTAGGGACTAGGATAAGGAGGCCATGGCGATCGACCGGGATGAGCGAATATCAATCGAAACAACGCATCACACTAAGATCGATGATAGCCGCGTTGTAGCACTTGCTATCGTAGATGGGGGGCCAATGACCAGGTGCGTAACACACGGTCCAACATGGAGAGCGACCTGAAACAGACGACGCCGTCGAGGTGTAAGTGTCGTGGGTGGATGGGATGGCGGCATTAGTATGATTGTGACAGCCATGCGCTCAGGCCTAGCTTGGCCGTTCGGCACTTTACCTGACACTCGTCATGCAGACATATGAAGGACGAGTGCTCCGAGAGATGGACAATGACGAAGCAACGCTTTTCTGGTGCCTCCCAGTGTCAGGTCGCGGTCCAAGGGAGAGCTGAAAGCCCATGCGAATACGGATAGTTGAAGGAAGCATAAGTCGTTCTGTAACTCTGTGAAATATTGCCTAGGCAGTCAAGAAAATATCGGCTTGCGTGGAAACATGACGATATGTACGTGAAGGAACTTGACGTCCAACATCATTCGATTCGTCAGTTATGGCTGGCTATATGTATTATTTGACAAGGTGAGTTGTCATGTGTCAGAAGATCGAGTCTCTATTACTCCGTAGATTCGGCTCATTTTGCTAAAGATAGCAATAGACTACGTCATCATAATATAATCAACTTGAGCTGGCCTAATGGCATTGGTGCTCTGTCAGATGTATATGAGGCCTCTGAATTTAGTAGCAAATAATCCGTATCCAAGTTTAGATTCCCTGAGTGTGGCCAGACAGTGTCTGAACATTAATTCAAGGACTTGCCGAGTCAGGAGAAAAGTGCCAGGGCTGGAGTAGGCCCCTAGTCTAAGTTTCTTCATATTGATCCTGTTTCTTTCTTGATTTCCTGTCTTGTCGATGGCGACTTGAATAAAGCTCTTGGATTGGCCAACGCGGGGTCCATGTATACGTACATACGTACAAACAAAGATGGAGTGAAGGGTGGATGCTAGATGTTTAAAGCGTGTCTGCTTCGCGTATTAGTGTGTTCATACATACTCCGTACTACGGAGATATTCCTCGCGTGTGCGAATGTCGTCTATCACCGTCAATGCTCCGTACCTGCATCACAACGTGGCTCGTGCTTTCGTATTCCATGAGATCCGTCAGGGGCATTTGTCGTTGGCCCTGACTTTGACCTACATACGGAGTACTCTGTATGCTAGGAGGCTTTTCTTGGCCACTGCCCCTAGACTATTGACGCTGGTGCCAAATTTGGCGACGCCTCAAAAGTCAATTATTAGGCCCAGAATCGAATATTCATTGGAAATTAATTATCGCTGAACTTGCTTGAGCCTCTCAATAGCCATGTTAAAGGAAGAAGAAAAAGGGGGTTGAAAGAGAGATTCATGTTTAATTGAGCAGGAGTTGGAAATATCAATAAGGAAGCACGTCGTTCAACAAGGCTCGAGTCTCGTCCAATCACGACCTTGCCTCGAGAACGGCGTCAAATTCTGTAAATGGCAAGAGTTGTCCATTTCCATCAACAAGATCTACAGGGTTTTGTCAATTTTGGGATTCGAGACAGGCAACCGTCAGTGTCTGACCTGCCTCCCTTGTACAACTCGACCGTCGATCGGGAGGGACGATGTCAGGGCAGGCCTTCCATGAGGTGGTATCTACCTACCTAAGGTACCTTAGGTACGTACGATGGGGTTATACTAACAAAAAGCAAGAGCAGATTGAAAAATGTCCGTTTACTTCTTGCATTGTTTTTCAGCTCCCTTTGCAGCAAACATTGTGGAGAGACGCTAACTATCACAGACGGCGTCTCTGAACTACCTACACCCACACATTATAGCGTCAAGGTCCGATTAAATACGTCGGATGGAGACACAACTGACGTAGGCGGCCGAATAAAGCCTGGCCTGTACTCTGTATTCATGAAAGAATCCATGGACAAAAGCAATGCCTCTTATGACATCCCGGAGAGGTAGTCAGGCGAAGGGTCAGAGATCGAATGATATAAATCACAATCACAAACAAGCAAGGCAAAGTACTTATGTAACTAAAGAAAGATCAATGTCGTCCTGATGGGTTCCAGCCAAACACGATCTTGTTATTATGTGTAGCGTTTCCGACACACCCTCCACACATTGTCCCCACGAAAACAGTGAGGACGGGACAAGACACTGAAACCCCAATCAGGGCTAAATTCTTCTCTCACCTATTTGGGCTTCATGGTTTCACATCCTTTTCCCGTCGATTGCTCATTAATCTATCACGGTGTGCTCCAGAGAATAGGCACAAAGCACTTTATCCAACACCCGTACTGCCGTTATGCAACCCGTGGCTGACTTTGGCCGGGGCGATACAAATGGGGGATCTCGCACTTCAATGGGGACTGAACACCGGCCCAGACAGACTCACACTCAAACCAAGACCATCCCTGACCGTGTCCCCGTTCTGTACGACACAGGACTTTGTCTCACGCTCTTTGCCGGGTTGCTCGTGCCGATTAGGAACAAACCTAGGTAGATAGTGAACTGTATGTATGTAGGTAGGTATCTGTACGGCACCTTTGAGAGGCCATCCGTCATTACAAAACGACAGCACATCAGTCAGGCTGTGGCTGCACTGACAGTTCGGTTTGGCTGATATCAGGCACAAAGGGGGGAAATAACAGAAGAGGACAACTCATCAGACGCCATCGGTGATGAGTGCCGATTTCCACCTGTCCACTGCATCAAGCACGCAGCTGGGTGAAGCATGTTGATGCAGACGGATACAGTATCCCGCATACATACGCAGGCACGCCCAACGATACAAACAGATTGCTGACGCCTCATATCGTATGCAGTGTTGCACCCGCAGCGTGGCCGCCCCGTCGGGACCGTTACCTTGCGATATAATTATTTTAAGTTGAGGACTGTTTCCTTTGTATGTCTAGAAGGTACTCTGTAGGCCTGAACCCATGGTCGATAAGCACTCCAACCAACATCCATCACCATCACTTGGGATGTTGGCTCGCTCAGCTAATGTGGCACCCAATCCTTAGCTGATGGAGCAAAGATGGCGACTAAGTGGGTATTGTTATGGGGACGGGAGGGACACCCATGAAGCTTGCCCTGCGTCCTGGAGGTCAGGGGATAAGACCTGACACTAACTAGCGATTCCTGGCCTGCAGCATGATCGTGGAGCATACCACACGGGCGACTTTACATGTACACTGTACTCCGTACCAACAACAGAGTTGAACGAGCGGTGGGGGTGAAGAGCGCATATCCATATCCGAACCATACGTACTTTGACGAATGCTAGTGTGGGCTTCGAACAGAGCACAATGGATGGGAGAAGACATCAGTGAACCAATCTGCATAGTATGGTCCGTGGATCCGTTGGCGCTTGCCTGAAACCCCTGAGGCTGAAGGGTTGTCGGAAAAGGATAGAGAGAAAGCCGAATTGAATGTATGTACATATGTATTGTGCTGCATCTGGTTACGTGGAAGGCCAACCGTTAATGGGTGCATCCATCGAATAGCAGGGCTTGGAAAAGGCGACGGCGTACGCCTCAAGATCGACGGCTTGCTTGCTTGCGGAATCGGTCAATTTCCTTAGCACACCAAAAGCCGGTCAGCCAACAGCTAGCTGTCAGGTACCTTGCAGCAGAAGTGCGTGCGGTAGATTTTGTTACCTGACTGAAGCGATTGTGAAGTGCCTTGATGAAAGGTGAGATAAAAGGTATTCGCTGTTGCTAGCTTGAGGGAAGCACATACATGCCCAGTTAATAAAGAGCGATAGATTTTGTAGCCCACTCACTCACCTGCATGATCCATACAATGCCATGTATGTAATAATCCTTGTGTCGTCCCAGCCCCGGTCAGTGGGATATGCTCATATGCTGTTGTGATTGTTTGTTGTAGTTCAAATGGAAGCCAGCGGTGAGTATCATAATAGTACCTAAGAGGAATGGATGGATGG